TAATGTGTTTGTTCCGGTTCTAACGCATAGTATCTCAAAGTTAGACCTCACCCACCTTTGCTAGGTGGTTGGAAGTATGTGAAGCTGCTAGGTGGTTGGAAGCACCAGGAGGGGAAGCTTCTGGCAGAGCTCCAGATTGGAGAGACGGTCACTGGAAAGGTGTCTTTGGCATCTCAGATTGGGGCGTCTCAAGTTTGTGGCACACTCTTTCGCTTTAATTGACATCAATTGAATCTCTCTCACACACCCCACAGGACTGGCATATATATATCATTATATATCTATCATCCAAGATATCATCAATAGAATTATATACTGTAGATAGATAGATCTGAAGAGAGAGAGAGAGAGAGACCAGAGAGACACTGTTGTATATATATATATATATATATACGTGTGTGTGCGTGTGTGAGTGTGTGCGCCTACATCGACCCCCGTTTCAACCACCCCGTTTGGCGCACCCCGCTTCGCTCACGAGACCTAGTGAAACACACCGTGGCGCATCATTCAGCACGAAGGGCCGGTGGTTTCAGAGATGGCACTGGCACCCCGACATGTCTTTTACATGGGAGTCCATATGTCCATATAAACCAGCATTTAAGGGTCTCCCTTGTGCCATCTACTCTGAAACCACTTCTTAAGCGCTGAAAATTGCTCAAGAACCTCTGAGCATTTGCACGGCGTGTGACGACTGGACTACCACCGGTCACCGAACGGCGTGCCGTGCGCAGGGCAGCGTGAAGGGTCCGAAGGCGCCGTTGGTCGGATCCGGAAAGCCAGGTTCTCGCACGATGTCAGCCGCTGTAGAGCGTCCCATGCCTTAGGCCTTAGGCATCGCCGTGTGAAAAATTACCTAGGCAAGTGCAAACTGGATATGTTTTTGCTCATGGGCTTAAAAACCGCGCGTGTAGTGAAACTGATTTTTCATACAGTCCTTTGGGGGGGCAAGAACACACACAAACACACGCATTGGAATATGGAAGATGGGGACACGGGGGGTGGGGTTAGGGGGGAGGGGGGGTTGGGTGGGGGGCTAGTGATGTTCATGTTGTGTGCTTTTTCATTAGGAAGCCACACACGCACACGCTGTGGAAGAGGGTGGGGGTGAGGGGTAGGTTCCCCAAAGTGGCAGTATGTGGCAGTGAAGTACACTGGACTTGATCGAAAGCACCAAGTAAGACCCTATCTCACGTTCAAGTGCGCGAGCGACGACGCGCCTTTTTCTCTGGACCTGATCGAAAACACCGCTGGAGGATGAACAAACGCGCATTTTTTGGCACGAAACCACAGTCTCGTAGCATTTTGATGTCAAAATCGCAACGATTTTTGAGTTGTTTTCTTGTACTACATGCTCAACAAACCTTTCACATCAATGCAAAACACAGCCACACAACGGACATTCGTCATCATTGACCACGTGATGATTTGACAAATGTCTTCAACCGCACACACGGAAACGAGCCCGGCGGGATGTTTTTGTTTTCATAAGTTTTCAGTTCGAGTTTGCTCAAGAGCATCTCTCAGAATTGGTGGAAATCATTTACTGCAGTCAATGATAGTGCCAAGCAGGGGGCCCGAGGGGTACAAATCAAGATCCAATTTCTACAGCCAACAATTAAGATAGACATTTATCCTCAACATGGGCCACGATGATGATTGTTACAGCATCCTTCATGCAAAAAGGTTGTTTTGGGTGCCATGTTTCGTTTACATGGGCTTGGGTGTGTTTTTTCCTTTAACAAGGATCCCCCCAAGGAGTGTGATAGATATAATATTCAAAGAGCAAAAACTAGGTGAACAGTGGTGTGCATGTTTCTTTGTGTTGCTGCCTTCTCGCCCAAGGTGACCAACGTGCTGCGGGACCGGGTTTGGGTCAACATCGGTGCTGCCGCTCGGTGGAGTCGCATCCTTTGGCCCAGCTAGGTGTTGCCAGGCATCTACGGGTTTGCGACAGGTTAATCAAGATTTACCGATTGGATACACCGGTTGGATGGATCTACCGATATTACCAGTTCAAGGAACCCACGTGTATCCAGAGGTTTGGGAGGAATTGGTGGTGCCCCTTTCGTTCGGATCTGCCGATTCGGACATTGGACTCGCACTCGAAAGTCGGACATTGGACGACGACCACTTCAGCTAGTGCAGAATCGTTGGGCGAGTGATGTTGGATGTCCCCTTCTTGGACGTAACACGTTTGATAAACTCCTTCCAGGTGTTAAAGACTTGCCCCCCTGGTTCATGCAGTGCCATGTGTGCGAACACGAGAGCCTGAGCCACAGAACACACCATCGCCAATTGCAATAATGACGGTTTAAAGATGTTTAAAGCCTTACTGTTTTGGACACTCCAACATGTTCCTAATAGGATTAATAGGCCAAGCTCCAGTGCTCCTAAGTAGCCCAGAGTAATCCTTTTGTGAGGCGACACGTTTTTTCTTTTTAAATGAGAAATCCACTTAAAGTGGTTTAGGTTGTGGGTCTTTCATCAACTATTGAGGATGGTCAAAACTTCAAGCTTTTGCGGTTTACGGGGACGGAGATGGACGGATTGGTTTAGATTTAGATCGTCGCAGTAGTTCCCAGTGAAGTGAAGATGTGGCCCCCTACCAGCTTTCCACGCCGGCAACACTTTCCCAAAAAGGAACTTCGTCAAACACATCTCCACACCCACCTTTCTCGCCCCACCTTTCTCTCTCGACTTGCTTGTGTTCCTCACCTTTTCGACCGGGCGTTTCGGACTGTCGGGTCACCGGGTGTCGCGCCGGAACCGGAACCGAAAACCGGTTCCGTCCGAAGCGGCGCGATCTGCAGGAGGCGGACGTGACCTTCACGAAGCCGAAGGAGGAGAAGCTTCGCGTGGGGGACACGGTGACGGGGACGATCGTGGAGATCGATCTCAAGCGTCGCATCAACAACGTGAAGAAGGCGGGTGTGGTCGGGGTGTCGGTGTAGGTCGGTCGCTGTGTTTGTGTGAATTGTTGGAGAGGTTTAATGGAAGTTCAATGAGAATATGTGTATGTTTCCTGGTGTGTAGTAATGTGTGTTATTGTTGGTTCTTGGATGCTCCTGGCTTATATAGGTTGTCATCGGTACTAGACTATAGCTTTTGCAGTGCCCATTGCTTGAGGTAGGGTTTGGGTGATAGTTACCAATGGTGTTTCTAACTTGGGTGTTTTCTCCGAATTTCCTCCCTCAAAAAGAAGTGTAGCACCTTCAGCTGTCCCATCACAATATGTTCAAGAACTTCTGTGTTACTTCCACTCGAAGTAACCTTTGGTGCTCGAACTGGCTCGGAGGTCCGCAAGAATGAGACAGGACTATTTATATAGTGTTTCTGGATATGAAAGTCATTAGTGAACTTACAGTAAGTCAGTAAGGTATAGATCATATACCAAGAACTAGTGTTCACTAATACCTAACAGCTGCTAACAGATAGCAAATCCTAAATCGTCCGTGTTTTTTCCCCATGCTCTTATTGTAGTTCCCTACAAACTGTTCAAGGGTCGTTTTTCGGGGCAGGAATTGGTCTGCGGATTCCAGAGTGCCGGATCACCTTCGATATCTTCAACAGAAACGGCAGCAATTTTATATGGTGAACATTGGGCGAAATATAGATCATGAATCATGAGTGTTTGCAAATGTTCCTGATTCATGTGTTACTTTTTTTGGTGTGTGTGTGTTATTGTATGTGTGTGTCTCTCTCTCTCTCCATGTTGTTAGATTGGTAAAGTATACGTAGACCTGATCTCCAAATACCCGGCCTCAACATGTTATACATGTGTTTAAATGTGTTTAATAGGCTATTGTCAGAGGAACAACTCCACTTCACCTTCCCTGAAGTTCCTATCTTCGCAACGCTTTTCAGCACCAGTGAGTGCCTTTCCCAGCCTATGGTGGAACCACAAGTTTGTCCCGGTTTCGCGGGGTCTTTACTGCACTCACCGAGGAGATTGTGCGCATCAAGCGGTTAGAAGGCTGAATGGCTGCAGGGTGTCTCCGAAGATGCGTGGATGTGGGTCAAAATCCTCTGTCGAATCATGATACAATCTATTTAGACCCATATCGCCATTTACCCCTGAACATTTCCCCACAGCTCACCTCCCCAAAAGGCTCTTTTGCAGATTCACTGATGTTGGTGATTGCTTTCCTGGAGTCTCTCAGATTCACACCCCCCAAGGGCTTTCACCAGGGTTAAGCAAGGCTTTCCCTTTTGTACGTCGGGGTTGCTGATTCAGACGTGCGGGTGGGAGCCTCGGTGGGAGCCATTCTTAGGCCAGACGAGATGTATTGGGAGCAGCTCCTTTTTACTGGCCTAAGAATGACTCACAGTAGGTGACGATGGCAGATCCTGCAGGCGTCATCTATGCATTAGTCATTATACCCATTCCTGTGACAAGTGTTTGCCCCACAGCCACTTGAGCACGGCCAGAAAGAAGCTTTTTCTCATGCGATCTCTTGCTTCACATGGCTGCGAAACCGCAGCCAGGATCGAACATCTCATAGATTCGACGAAAAGAAGCAGCTGCGATGAGCTCCCATGCAGGATCCTACCACTCAGAGACTCGTTGCGAGCTCGATCATACATCCCTGGCCATCTTTGCGCTATGACAGTTTTCTCCGCTAGAAGTGGGTTGGGGCATCCAAAAGGCCAAGGGCAAAACGGGGCCTGACCAGGCCTGCCTGTTTGCTGTTTACCAGGCTGTGCGGCCATCGGACGGGTCGTCCCATAGAAATGGGAAACTGTGAATAGCTAGTTTGACATCTCATCCGGGAGCAGTGCAATGTATGATTTGCAAAGTTGCATTTGCTAAAAAACTGTTTCGGGGCTCTCCACTTCGAATCCTTGAGAGCCATAGATGGATTTGAAGCTACTAAGCTAGCATTCTAAATTCTTGCGGTACAGGTTCCAGTGATACAGGAGGCTAATAGAAGCCCTGAACATCTCACACAGAATAGAAGCCCGAACCATTTTCCCATCCAACTCGCAAACTAGATTGGTCGGCGACCAAGGCGCCAACCGTCGTAGCATCAGTATGTTGGAACATAGTTGGGTAGACCCCTCATTCTGAGATGGAGCAATCACTTGGCCACGTGCTTGGAAGTGCATTAATATCCTATAAGATCTGAAGCCATGTTTTGGTTGCTTTTTCTCTTATGCTCCGTGGGCGCAAGCCAGTGGGAATCCGTCAGCTTTGATCTCGCCAAGTTCCAGTCGTTGCTGACCTCCAAGGCTTTGTGTCCCAACCACGATGGATTTGGCCAAACGTGAGCTGCGGGAGACGGGGCCGCATGGCACCGTAATCTTGGCGGAGGAAATGACCTCTGGACGTGGGAGATCTGGTGCGAAGTGGGTCTCTCCAGATGAGGGAAATCTTTACTTGACTCTTCTTCTCCGTGCTGCAGGGTCAGGGTCATTGAATCAGGATAGGCGTGTACAAGTGAACTTGGCAACTCCCTTGGCAGTGGCGGGAGGTATTGCAGAGCTTGTCCCCAATTTGCAGCCGAAGCTCCGCTGGCCTTTGACGGTGGAAGTGGGTGGCCGCAAAGTTTCTGGGGCACTCATTGAGATACACAATCAGGATGGCTTGGAACACTTTGCCGTAGGGGTTGGAATTAATGTCAATGCAGATTTTTGCAACAACCAGTCTTTCTCTCAGGCTGTCACAAGTTTGCGCTGCGCAGCACAGACTGTCATGGATCGGGAGCTTCTTTTGGCGAAGATTTGCGACAATTTGGAAGAACATATATCCACGCCTTCTGTACATGAGTTGAAGCAGAGGTATTTGGCCTGGCCTTCAGATACTTCTATCGGCAGTGCGGTGTCCCTCCTCAACAAAACAAGTAAGGATTTGATCCTGGATGGGGTGGTCACTGGCTTGACCAACTCTTTGGCCTTGGTGGTCCAAGCCTCCAATGGAAGCAACATTGAGGTCTTGGGTACTGGATCGATCACGGTCTTTCCGCAGGGGCATCTTTACAAGACCGAGTTGTAACGGTCTGTAAAGAGTGGTGGCCAGAGAGAAACAGGCCAGCGAACCGAGTGCGGATGGACATGGATCGGTGGAAGCGCAGCAGACGTTGCATGCTTTGCTTTTCAAGAATTGAAGGAGCAGAAGGGGGGAGTAATGGGGAGTATTTGAGTTTTACATGTCCATTCTATCCATTTCTATCCTAAATTTGGGAGGGGTTTGCGACATGAAGCTTCCCGGTCTTGGATCCCAGAAGCCCTGTTTGGAAGGTGTTGCCGAGTTCTATAAGTGTTGCGTGAATGATGGTGACAAGGCCCACTCCCTGTGGTTGTTCCCGATGAGATGTTGTTTGCTTGTTGTTTTGCTGGTTCGGACGTTCGAGCGCAGCAACACAAGCAAAAAACGTCCAACACCAGGGGTTGTGGCCCTGAAAATTCGTTTGACCATGTTTGGTTCTTCTGAAAGTTACGGCTGTTGTGGCTGTGGTTTGGTTTGACCATGTTTGACCATGTTTGGTTTGACTGTTGTGGCTGTGGCCCTGAAAGTTACGGAGTTTCAGTTTGGCCTACCCCCTCGATCCCGCCAAGGAAAGCGTTCACAGCACCGGTGCTGCCAGCGGAGCAGCCACAAGTTTCGCCGCCGGTGTCCTTGGCTGTGGAAACAGGTCGCCCGGTTCGGGGTCAATGGCGGCAGGGAGTTTGCTTTGTTTAATCTGTTGATGCTTTTTTAATGCTTCAGCGCAGTCAAGAAGGGTTTGTTTGGCGTGGTCAATGTCTGAGAGGTTTGAGTTTGCATGGCTCGATGTGTAGAGACTTCGCATTCAGAGTCGGAGGCTATGAAGTCATACAGCATGGTTCCCGCGGAGTTGCGTTTCGTGCCGAAATGGGTATAAAGGGTTTTGGGCAGCCTTCAGATAATCATGGGAGTGTAAAGAGGCTGGAATACGGCCCACTAGAAGACTTTTAGCAATGTGCCAACTAAGCCACCACCTTCTATCAAGCGTTGTCGGTTCCCAAAGCGCTTTGGGCGGAAAGAGGACGCGCCACTGGCTGGATTCATGTTATCCGGTTTTGTCAATAGAATGACTATGTCACATAAGTTTGTGTGACTGTGGGGGCCATGGGCCTGTGAAAGAGCTGTGACTGTGGTTTGTTTGTCATACTACATGTCACGGCAAACAGGAGCCCTGCACCTGAAGTTTGGCCTGTTTGCGCCACAGACCTCGTGAAGAGGTGGAACCTCTTCGCTCTTCACACCCCGTGATCGATCCGATCCGCCCGGCAGGCTCGCCAGCGGAACCCGTCGCTCGTCCGCACGGCGGCGGGGCATTGGCCACACCGGCGGGGGAAACGCAGCAAAGGCCCTGCTCAATGCAGCACAGGATCCATTGACCCTGCTCACCATCCCTGTGGTCGGGGGTGAAAAAGGGCCCTGCTTGGCGGAATGTGTAATGATCAATAGTAGCACCGACACCTGTACACTGCTGTATGCTTGTGGGGTTGGTTTGCCATACCTCAGGCTTTTGGCAAGATGGCCATGACAATCCATCGGAATTTCCGGCGCCTTTGTTCAGTTGATTCGCTGGCCATCCCAGAGATAGAGAAACCTTTGTGTATACATCACTGATCGACTTTCGACTGGGACCAGGGAATGATCTTGTCTCACAGGACACGAGTGAGCACTTGTGCCCTCAATCCCGTGAACCCCCCCCAACGAGCATGGAAGTGGAACACCCTTCCCCCCTTTAGGTAGAGGAAATGGTCTTCAATATTCTTCAATTAAACAATTCCAAAAAGAAAAACCATGTCCACTTCCATGATTCTTCCAGGGAGTCGGATGTTTCAGAAGTCGGATAGTCCCCGTGGCCGATGGCCATGCCAAAGTTGTCAAGAGACGTTTTTTTTTCCTTCTCCTGCTGCTGCACACTGCTGCACGAGCAGAGTTTGGGAGTGGATTGCGGAGCTAAGAATGGCTGAGTCGAGGAGTCTAGCAACAAATGCTTAAGGCTTAAGTTCAATCATTGATGCAGCTTCTGCTCCGCCACCGGCAGAGCCATGCCGATAGACAAAATGGGTGAGAGAGAGAGAGAGAGTGTGAGTGAGTGAGAGAGAGAGAGAAAAACAAAAAGGAAGAGACCAGGAGCTATCCATCCCTGGTGGAACTCAGGTGGCCACACCCAAGCTCATGGAGTCCGTGCGCGCCTCCTTGAGCAAGGTGCGGGCCGAGTATCTCGGGAGGGACCATCACCTTCCAAGATGTGGGAGGACACCTGGTGTCTTCATAAGTGAAAAGAACAAATGACTCCTCAGTCATTTCTTTGTTGGGTGGAAGGCTGGAGGTACTTTTCCTTTGGTGTTATATTGTGGTGTATATATATATATTATAGACCTGGTGGTGTGCCTGTCCGCCTTTTTATTCAACTAGCTTATTAAATTCAACGAGCTTATTACATGCGCTGTCCATCATTCTTTTGCTTGGAGGCGGAGAGCATGGGCGGCTCCTACGTGCCTTTCGTGCCTTGGACAGGTGTGCAGAACCCAAGAACAACTCCATGGATCAGTAGGCATGACTGGTTTGTGTGCCAAAGGCACCTGGGAAGAGCAGAACTAGACTAGACTTAATTAAGTAAATACATTGGGAGGTCTCACTATTCCAATACAAACCTATTTGCTTTCTATGTTCAACCTGTACCTCGGAATATTTCTGGCAGGGTTGAAAGCTGAAATTAAGGCTCTCAGATGCACTAGGCATGTGGGTTCCGGTATGCAAGGACAGCATGTTTGAGCCATTTTCGCCATCAGAACCTGCCCCAGATGACAACGATTTCGAGTTCGACATGAATTAACTAGCCTATGGGGAACACGATGGAATACGCAGTTATGCGTCGAGGTTCAGCGATATGTTCCTCGAAGCATGCTGCATGCTGCTGCAGGCTTTGTCGACCACACTTGTAGCAGGGCACCTCATGTGGCACAAACACAGGGATCTAAAATTCTCGAAGTGTTGAAGTTTATCCAATTCATTCTGGAGATGGCCCTTCTGATCTAGTTAGATCAGCACCATCAGTGAAGATTTGACAACTCTCTCTCTCTCTCTCTCTTGTGTGTGCACTCTACACTTACCGACGATCTACCTCTTTGGCGCGAGAAGCTGACTCACGCGTTTCCAGAAACCACACGATCACGCGCTTTCTCAACGCACGATCAATGCCCGAGTTTTAAATACTTCAGGCGTTTCAAACGTAAGGCAAAGTGAAAAAACACCGTAAAGCTTTTGTGGCTGACAACTCGTTCAACGCCAAAACCAGTGTTCTTTCGACGCTTGGCCAGGAATGTGGGCGAACTTGCACGTTCATTGAAAAGGGGTTTCCTGCCTCAAGTCAGGGTGTCAAGTCTCCAATACCGTTGGCCTTTGGCAAAAAGAATTTGAAATGATGCTAGGGATCCATATCAGGTCCACACAAGGATCGAACGAAAGAACCGAAGACCAAACAGCGACGCAAAAAAGAACACAAAACCGTCCTGACCTCGGGCCTGAGCCTCATGAGCCTCAACTGGGCTGCTTCAGCGAGTTCGATCCAGACAAGTGAACACAGCGTCACCGCAATCCCAGACTGGAGAAGATTGAAGGATGGGAGAGGTGCTTCGAATTTTGGTCCGAGGTGGCTCGAATTCGTGAGAATTCAGGAAACAACGATATCAACATATGAAAAAAAAGGAAGCACCGAGCAACACATCCAAAAAGAGAGAGAGAGAGAGGTTTTGTTCCAACGGAAAGCACGCACCTGTCCCACGCTATTGCACTGAACCAACGGCCGCGTGCAGCTGGCGCTGTTCAGCAGCAGACCCCTGTGCTGCACCCTGAAGCGAATGGGCTTCTTTAATTTTAGAAGCTTGGACACCGACTGTGATCACAAGAGCTGCAATCTAGATCTGGGGGAGGCAAAAAGACTTGGAAAAAAAGAACGCCCACAGGATATATATATATATACACTATATATTATTGTATATATATATATATATATGTACAGGTACATATGTTATATTTTATGTATTTATATCTATATCTATATGGCAGTGGCCATGGCACTGGAGGCCCCGTCGAGCACCGAACATGAACCCAAAAACATGAGCCGGTTGGACACGGATGGTTCGTCCGACTCTCTTGCCCGCTTCGCACCTCCAGGTGCCTTGGAACTTGCTGGACCGTCGGTGAGGAAGTGAGGGCCATGTGTCTTCCTCGGTCGGTGAGCGCCGTTGGAAGAGAGAAGAAAGCATGAAAAGGCGGGTGGCCGGCCGCAGCCAGGAGGACAGAACTGCATCTTGGGGCCGGCCAGGAGGGTCTAGGACTCTAGGAGGGCCTAGCAACCTAGCATCATGTAGATAGCATTCTGTCCTCGGGAATGAATGACTGTTTTGTCCAGAGGCTCCAGATTCTAACCTATGCCTATCCCATCCTATCCCCATGCGTTTCAGCATGAGGTCATCAAGTCTGCTTTGGTTTCGCCGGATGGCCATTGGGATGTGCGTCGTCCGTGCAGTCCGTGGAGCAAGCATGGGCAGTGCATGACTGTTTTCCCCTTCTACAAGTGGTCTTGGACGAATCCACCGACTCGCCTAGAATCCTCCGACTCGCCTGCACCAACTCGCCTGCACCATGGCATGATCAATCAGATGTGATTGCATTGCTGATTGGCTCAGGAGGGCATGTGGCAGGCCGTGAATCAAGACATTCACAGATGTTTGGAGAGCTGCAGGACTCAAAGCAACTAACACTGCTGAATCAAAGCCAGTCAATGTACAGAGTGAACAGTCCTAAATCGCCAGAAGAAGTTGCTTTTGCAAAGGCCAAGCTGCCAAGCCAAGTAGCTGGAAAAAGTCCAACCCACTACATTGTTGAAGCACAGCCGATCAATGCCACAGCACAGTCAGTGCGGACCCTGGGCAGGATGAACTGGGATGAATGCCTCGAACATTTGGGTTGTTTGGTATCATTTATGTGACGGGCTGGGCTGGCTTGTTTTTTGAAGCTAAGCCAGAATTCAATTGCAAACAAGCACTGTGCGCGACATGTTTTACACCATGTAAAGAACATAGATTGTTTAGAAGAAACAAGATAACATGCATTAGGATCACTTAGAAAACAGGTGTCAGGAGTGCCCAGCATTCAAAATCACATGCACATACTGTAATTGCATGCTCATCCTTGCGGTTTCTCCTGGACTTGACTTCGTATTGAAATATTGTTTTGGATCGACTCTTGCTGCTTTCAAGTGCTCTTTTGAAGGATTCGGTCAGGTAGAGCTGAAGGCTTACCCGGTTTTTCTTGGTACAGCCTGTCAGCCCATCGGCCTTCGTTGACCCTCCGGGGCCGGTGAGGTCGGAGGGAAGCGTCCGGACGTTCCGTTCGGTCGTACGCAGAGGAGCCCCGATCGTAACTTCATTTAATTGGTGGCTGCATGTTTTGAGGTGCTGAAAGTTGCAGAGGGATGGGCAGCCTTGAAATTCACCAAGAGAGAGAGAGAGAGAGAGAGAGAAAAAAAAAGAAAGACTTCCGAGTGTAAATTGGTGAAGGCTCGATCTACACCAGGATAAAGTGGTGGTTAGGTGGTTGTGTACCAGCTGTTGGGGTGGATTGGTGGCAAAAAACACTCCAACATCGCTACCGACACCAACCACCGCCGCCACTGACCACGCCGGAGCTCAAGAGGGCCGCGCTGCGCGGGGCTTTGGGCCGCGCGCGCGGCCGCGCGCGGGGCCTTTGCGGCATTTGCGTGTCGTGGAGGCGCATGAGCCTGTTGGGATGCCAATGAGTCTGTTCAGGAAACCTTGAGTGGCATCATTGGTGTATTGGTATGTATTGGTGATGTCAAAGTGGAATATTCCTTTCAAGAACATTGTCCATGGCATGAACAAGGGTTCTTATATGATCTTATACTGCATACTCAATCATTTGAAACCGTGTGCCGAGCATGCCCTTTTTCCCAAATGCTTGCTTCGCTTTCATGACTGACTGGAGAAGGTGTTTATTCGCAGCACTTGACGAGATGTACTGCAACGGTGCAGACTTCGTGACATCGTGTGTTTGTAAACGTTAAACTTGCATGACACATTCACATCGGAAAGCAGCGCGCGTTGGGGACGTACTTCTTCAGGTTCTTCAAACACCTCGGGTTGTAGCTTCTGGCCCCGCCATCCACCGAGTGTATGCCTGGTTTCGCTTCACACTCGTTCGGGAGTCAGGATCCGATCTCCCCAGCCGAACGTGCGTGGCGCTGGAAAGCGCAGCCCTAGCCCTGGAGCTTTGCGAACGGGCAGGTCATGGTGAACATGCAGATGTTCTGTAGCAGCCCGGATCTCACCACCCCGCATGGGGGAGCTCCATTCCAGGGCTGGCGGAAAGGCGGGGTTTGCTTTGGTCTGCTTTTTGAAGGTCGTTTTTTGGTTGGGTGGCGTCATTCACGGGACCTAGAGTGGGCAAGCTTTAGTTGTTTAGTGCCATGTGGATATGCCAGAAGTTTGCGCTTGGTCCAAGCAGACATACAATGTATGTTTCATAAATACGACCGATGCGACCAACGCGACGATGTGATGTATATGCGCGTGACCTGGCTGTATTGCCTTGGAATCACTGATCTCGGCCTTTTTGCCGGGATAACTACGAGAGTCGGCCTGGATCACTGGCTTTCCCCAGCGCCTGAAGCGTGGCTTCAGCCGAGAGTATGGCATTTTGAGGTTGTGTTTGTTCTTTGATTTTCTATGCATCTTAGTTTCACAACTATCCAGCCTAGCGGCCTGTCCTCCAAATGTCCTATAGTTAGTTGGGTACTTTTGTTACTATAGGCGTTGATATCCTCTTCCAAGGTTCATCACAAAAATTGGCAAACTTTGTAGGCAGGGGGACGTGAAGGCCAAATTTTGTTCTTTGAGGGCGCTTAATTCGTGCCATCTTCCATACTGATTAGTAGTGGGAAGAACTAGTGATCAAGCTAAGCTCGCAGGCTTTGGATTTGGCCACAGTAAAGGTCCAGGAGGATACGTCCGACGCCCCAGCACTGTGTTCGTCACGGATGCAGAAAGAGAACCTGAACATGTCCAACTGAGCATGGGAGCATGGCCTGAATTCTTGTCGCTTTGGGGCCTTTTTCAAGACCACGTAGAGTGGTAGTATCTCTCCACTAAAGCACCACAAGTGGGATCTAAAATGATCCTTGACATCCTTCGCACTGCAACGCACCGGCCATCGTCCGCTACCCACCATTGTCCTGGCCGTCCTGAGATGCATGATCCTTCGATGGTGATCCAGCTGCGCTGCAGCCCCAAGGAGGACCGCTGCCTCGCCAGTAGTGTCGACCTCAGGCGGCGCAGTTAGACAAGTTAGGCCACTAGAAAAGCACCAGCTGCATCCAGCTGCCATATAAATTACGTATATACATCCCCGGTTGGTGGTCATATTCAAAAGGGGGTACCCTGGCCCCCTGAAATAGTGACGATCACTATAGTATAATAGTGACAGCCAACCTTGGCTGCTGCAAATGGATGTAAAACAGGGGATGGGCTCCATCAATTTTATTGAAGCAGATTGGGGTTGATTTTGAGGTTGGCCCTACAACACTTTATCTTGCACGTGGGTTGGATGCTGCTCATTGTATTTCACTGCAAGAGATTTCTGTATTATCTTGTATTGTTATTGTGCCTTTTGTTTGTCTTGCTGGGTGTGTGTACTAATGTGGTGGTAGCTAAGGGTGGAGAAATCAAGATAAAATCAAAGTCATAAATAGTTGAAATCTGATTCTAGGGTTGGCCCCCATCAATTGCATCTAAGGTGAACTCCTGCTATTGTGGTTGTGTGTGTGGGCTATTGTGGTGGTAGCTAAGGGTGAAGACATAAAGATTAGATGAAGTGCATGTTTGCCTAA